TTTTTAAAGTGGACTAACAATGAGGTGGAGTTGTTGGAATTTGAAGAAAAGCTATCTGAGGGATGTACAAACTGATATCAAAATTGAGAGCAAACGAAACAACTGCTGTATAATGCCCACCGCTGTTTAATTGCATCACATGACTAAAATGTATCATTGTTTTCAAAAAGTCTCAGTTTTCGCTGTCCACACTGCGACGCAAAAGCACCATTTTCAAGTGTATGCGTTTTCCTTCACAGAAAATGCTGTCTGAGTGTGGATGGGAGGCCAAAATGGAGAGAAAACGCATTCGTGTGGACGTAGCCTAAATCCTGGCTGCTCTCCAAGCACCAGGTAAAATGTGCAAGTTTAATGCCACAAAGTGCAACAAAGATCAAAAACGTACGGTAGCTGCTTTCTTGTAAATTTAAGATAAAAGTATAAATATCACACAACCTTTAAAAGAATCCTTTGATCTCTCTCTAAACCGCTGTTTCTCTAAAGTGAAGTTAAGGTGAGTCAAGCTTGACAAACACACGTCAGTCAGTCTCCTGGTCAGTCACAGCAGGGGTGAATGAACAAATGGGAGAGAGGTGGGAGCGCATGCAGAGAGAGAGGGAACATACAGCGGCAGCCTGACCGGGCCTACAGTTCACATAGGAGACAGCGGGACGGGGCTTGACTGAGTGCTTCCAGCTGCTAAGAAGAGTGAGGAGCAGCTCTGGGATAGAGTCGCTGCGGTAGTAAGACTTCAGAGAGAAGAGGAGAAAACGAATGAACAGAAGTTGACAAACGTCACAACACAGATGGCATGAAGGCCGGTGAATACGCAGGAATATGGAAAAGGAAAATATCAGAGAAACAAATGGAATGATTAAAAAAAAAAAAAAAAAAAAGCAAAAGAAGAAGTCAGAGGTCACAGGATACATACCCAGCTGGTGCTGCCCCCCTGACCCTTTGCAAAGAGCAGGGATGAGCCCTGCAGCACAGTCCATGAGGAGGTCCAGTTCTTCCTGTTAGTCAGAACAAACGTGTTAATGAGATTCTGTGGATGCAGAGAACACTTTTAGAGAGTAATCACGTCTTACCTGACTTTCTTTCCATTCTCTGTGATTTTGGTGACATTGAGAACTCCACACTTCTCTGAAGGCTGAAGAGAGAGACACACAGTGGCAGATAAAAACCTGCTGGAACACATGAATGAAAAAACACACACACACACACACACACACACACACACACA